TATGTATAAAGTATGTAGCTGCAAGTTCTCTAAGCAAGGGATATATTCGCGATATAATTTCGATATACTACTCAGGTATCGCCAGGAGCTCAAAGGACCCTGGCAAAAGATATATGCCATAGAACATTTTGCAATGTCTTCGCCTGCCCTCATTGATAAGACATACTCTCTATACTATAGAATTAACGAGAAGCCAATAGCGTTAATATATGAATAACCGAAAATTTCACAAATTATATACTTTGGTCCCTCGATATGACATACCCGATACACTCTAAATATAAGAATTAGCCAACAGAGCTATGATGTGTGTGTGCGTGTGTGTGTGTGTGTTTGTGCAAATAAACTGCTAAGAAGAAAATGCGAAAAAAATGTTTAAATTCAAACAGCAAAACCTACTTTGGAGTTTGGAGTAAGAAGCATAATACAAAGTCTAATTGGGTACGTTTCTCAATTCTAAACATTTATTCCACAATTCCTTCTAGATCTGATTTGCTCGACAGATCCCTGGTAGGGAAATACTATTATGCGTAGAGATGCGATTAGGAAATTCAAGTGCCATGGTGTATAACAAAGGCAATCGTGTGTGTGTGTGTGTGTGTGTGTGTGTGTGTGTGTGTGTGAAAATTCCCCAGATGACATACCTTCGTCCCATATCAATAAGATATACGCAATTTACAAAAAAATAAAATCTGAAACTAATAGCACTAAGCTATATAAAGTATATAGGCCTATCAAAGAAAAGAAAAACAGAAAAAAAAATCCCCAAAGGGTAAATATCAGCTCTCATCAATAGGACATATTCAATATACCATAGATATATGATCAGAAACTTGCGTGACGTGACGAGCAACAGAATGTGACAGTCGCATGCGGAAGTCGACCATTCAGCTCAGGCGCAACTGCCGGATAATTATCAATCACCGGGAAAGTTGTGATGACCCGGGCGTCGGATAAATGCTTTTGCCGGATTCCGTTCACGGGGGTAATGGCAGCCGAAGGAATGGGTAATTGTATGCTATATTTGGAAACCGTTTGCTACACTTGGTAACTGTATACTGCGTTTAGTGATCTTGTTTTACACTTGGCGATTTGCTGCTATATTTGGTTATGATATGGTTGGGAGTTTCATGCTACACTGTGATCGTATGCTGCACTTTGTAACTGCACTTGGTAATTATGAATCTTGTGTTGCACTTAGTAACTCTATACTTGCTTTGGTGATCGTATGATAATACTTGGTAATCGGTGAAATTGTATGCTTCATTAGATAACTGTATGATGAACTTTACAGGTGTATGCTAAACTAGATCATTATAATCCTTCTGGAAATCTCGTGTTGTACTTAGTAACTGTATGCTATGTTTAATGACCGTATGCTACACTTTATAATCGTATGCAACTTCTGTCTTATTTTGCACTTGGTAAAATTTTACTATATCTGGTAACAATGTGTTTCAAGTGTTAATATCATACACTGCTAGGTAAGCCTATACTAAACCGCATAAGATGCTAGTCGACATACTGCACAGGGCAAGTACACTCAGCACTTGATAATCACAATATCACACTATAACCGTAGGCTGCACTAGGCAATACTGTGTAATCATATGGCACTCTGGGTAATCTGCTACGCTAGGTAATGATCATGTCTGAAAATGGAACTCAGTGTAATAATGACTCCGTTCTGGCAAGGAGAGGATAAGGGACCGAAAAAGGCTGTTTGGCTGTCTTTCTAGAACACAAAACCCACACAAGAGAGACCGGTGAAAAAGGCAACGAGCCAAACCAACCGGAGGAGGAGGCAACCAGACCAGAGAGACCTCAGACGGATGCATGACTAGCCCAATTTAAGGAGAATAAAATGGACTATGACTATGACTATGACCACACAGACCGGAGCAAGTGGCCGATTAGACAAAGCGGAACATATTCAGGATAGACTACAGCGCCGAAAACAAATTATGTGACGAAAGAAAATGCGATAAAGGTCTGGAAAATCTAGACCGACTGGAAAAAGAAACATAATTAAACCACACTAGGCCTAATGTGTCTTAGCAGACCAGGCCAAGCTGAACAAAATATCCACTAACAATGTGGTAACTTGACCTGAACAACGGAAAAACAGCGTAGCAAAACAAGTGGAACAAATTATCAAAGCAACGCAGACCAGAATAACGGTCTAATTAGGAAGGCATTCGGGTCGTAAAACTTGGATGAGTTGTCTCCCATGCCATCTGTGGTTGAAATTTAAGAACTAAGACTGATTAAAAAAAAAAGGAAAAAAAAAACAGCTTCCGACATATTTCACCTTTAAAGAAAATATTTGTCGTCCATAAAGTACAGCAAGTTTGTGGATATTTTGATGTAAGAATTTGTGTTCTCGATTTTCCTGGGTACCAATTTCGCCGGTGACAAAGACAATAATAAAACAAGAAAAACAAAACAAAAACGAAAACGTACAAAGATGAAAAATGTATTTAGCTTCCGTTCCATTTAAAATTTCCAGGCCAGACGTTGTAATATAAATTGATACGTGCGTTTAATTCCAACCACTCATATTTACGAATGTGCAATATTCAGTAACTTGTCTACTGCGTCCTCGGGTTAAACCATTAAAAAATATATTTTCAAACAAAGCAAAATGCTTTGAATTCGGGTAACCTTTGTTGTAAATAATGTACAAGAACAAATGGACGAACGTGCGCAGGCACACACGTACGCGCGAAAACGCTCAAACATTCATACACATACACAAGTCTGTGTCATCATAATTTTACTCAGGTATGTGTTACAATTACCTTGTGCTAACAAGGTAATTCAAGTGTGATAACATCGCCTTATTCAGGATTGTGATAGCATGATCTTACTCACGAGTGTATTATATCTTACTCAGGTAAGTTTATATTCATATTCACCTATATGTCAAGAGCGTGTTATCCACGAATGTATTAATGTGTTGTCTAGGCATGTGTGTTATACGGTTCACTATAACGCACATTAATATTTTATCATTATTGCCATGGTAACATATTGCGCTGTTTTTCCATAAGCCTATTCGAGAAGTTTTTGAAAACAATAAACATAATAAATGAGAAACAAAGATTATAATTAGACTAGAGTACAATAAAGTAAAAGGTTTTAATTTCATTTTAATATGCATTGTTGAATGCAGCAATGATATTAACAGTGTGCGTGTTAATCAATCCTACATCAACAATAATGTTGGAAATAGTAGTAACAAAATAAAATTCACATCTTTTCAATAAGTGTAGAAACACAGAAAGAACAAGCAGCTTTCTAAATTGTTCAAAGAAAAAACGTTTTACAAGATTTATGATGCAAGAGAAGATTCCGACATGCTTCAACATTCCAAAATTTAAAAAAAAAAACTATTAAGTGTGTGTGGGAGGGAGGGTGTACCTACATGTGAATGTGTATGTGTGTGTGTGTGTGTGTGTGTGTGTGTGTGTGTGTGTGTGTGTGTGTGTGTGTGTGTGTGTGTGTGTGTGTGTGTAAGTGTATGTGTATGTATGCGAGTGCATGTAAGCAATATACACAAGCATATATACATAAAGGGAAAGCATCTAGCAAGGAACAGGCAAATTCCCAAAGGGCGCCGCCTTAGCTCCAAACAGCGGAGCGTAAAACGAGATCAGTATGTATATCTAAGCAATTAATGTAAGCACCTTGTGTGTGTGTGTGTGTGTTGTGTGTGTGTGTGTGTGTGTGTGTGTGTGTGTGTGTGTGTGTGTGTGTGTGTGTGTGTGTGTGTGTGTGTGTGTGTTTAAGGAAGTGAGGGAGAGAGGAGAGGGGTGTGTGGATGTATGCGTACGTGTGAGTATGCGTGTGCGTGTGCGTGTGCGTGTACGTGTGTGTGTGTGTGTGTGTGTGTGTGTGTGTGTGTGTGTGTGTGTGTGTGTGTGTGTGTGTGTGTGTATGTGTGTGTGTGTATGTGTATGTATGTAGACATCTACGTGAGTGTAAGCGCATGCGCATAGGTTTTCATTCCCATTCTCAAAAGAAAAAGATAAATAATCCATCAATTTTAAGCCGATTCAGACTACCGTGAAACCACTGGTCCCATTCTGAAAAGCAGAAATTCAGATCTACGGCAATACCATCTCCCAATACACAAGGGGAAAGACATTAACATTCCACGGTATGCCCTACGTACATTATACATAGATTAACCCTTAATGTTAAGCACAATAAATGCCACATATGATCATCATAAGACGAATAATATCAATATCATATTGAATAAACCACGTACTCACACTCGCACCAACACACTTACATACGTGAATAAATGTTAAGATCTAAGGATCTGCAGTCGAAAAGACCGTATGAAGAAATCAATTAATAATAATGACAATAACAGTAGAAACACCTAAAAGAAAGCAAAATTATGATTTACATCGCAAAGAATAATCATTAGAAATACTTAACGCCTTCATAACGACTCCAAATACGCAAATACAAATCGAAAAGGCCCTCAAATGCAAAGTCTTTCATGATGCCATACGTTCACAAAGACATAAATGTCAGACAGGTTCACAAGAACATAAATGTAAAACAGAAAGGCTTCTAAAACAAAAGTTCACCCACGATAATGCTTCCACAGTCAACAAACACGTGAAAAATAAACGGAAAAATGTTTCTGCAACCCAAAAAACTGCGTACGACCCTTGTGAGCCAATCCCTTCATATCAACAACTGCAGCAAATAAATATACGAAACGACAAGGCTTCCAAACGCAAATCTCGCCTTCAGCTTTTAGCCACGAGGAACCATTTCGAAAACACACAAAAAAAAACGCTTCTGTAACGACCAATATCCTCGCAATAACAACAAATACATACAAAAACGCCTCGAAACAAAACAAAAAACGCTTATGTAACGACATTACCTTCACAATAACAACACATACAGCGTCACAAAGCAAACACACACAAAAAAATGACAAAACTACTGCAACGAAATCTCGCAAAACTCACCAGCGAGGAGGAGCGTCGCTGAAAGATAGAGCGAGCAGGCCGTTAGACGAGACAGAAGGCGCTGACGACGGAGCAGTGGAAGTAGTGGTGGCAGCGGCGGCGACGTCATATTTCGGGCCGGCCTGGTCGTTACTTCTTGTATTATTTTGGTTCAAAGGCCTTTTTTACTCTTTCTTTAGGGAAGACTTGGGATAAAGGGTGAGGGAGACTTTTTCCCAATGAGATGCATTTTTTTTGGGGGGGTAGGGGGGAGAGGGGGTGACGGGAGCTGGGATTGAAGGGGGGAGGCGGGGAGGTTGATGGTCAACCTTAGGCTTCCAACTCCTTTTCTTCAGTAATTTATCTTATCTGTTGTTTTTGCTGCAATTTTTATTTGTTAGTTTTGATTGTGATACTTTATATATATGTAACAAAGGTACTTCTCAAGCCTACATCACCATTATATGTGAGTTTTCAAGAACGCCAAAGAGTGAGCTTTATTTCAGTAGAATGTGCGATATAATTCATTTTGCGACTCGATTCTTGTTCTAAAGTAGAATTTTCCCTCTACCTTTCCTTCTTTCTATTTGCAAAATAACTTGAGAGACAACCGTCAAAAGCCGATTTTTGCCGGACACTTCATTATCATTGCTGCACTTAAAGTTATGTGCTGGACGATGAACAATCAATGGAGATATATATATGCATATATTTGATTATGTGTTTTATATCCGGTAGTTTTCCCAACGGAAAAAAAGAGCGGCGTAATATATATATTATTTCATCTTAAATTGTTTTATATATCCATCAAAACCACTTGCGATAACCTCACTTCACTTGGGTCTGTCAAACAATAACAAGTCCAGAGTAAAACGAAACCAACAGAAATATATCAAGGAATACCATAAACAAATAATAAATACACCGTTAATAAAATCAAGCACTGAGAAGGTCCAAACAAGTTTCGTGAGCCAGAGACAGCAGGGCGCCCACACACGCCGTCAGTCTCAGAGCCACTGACGGCGGACCGAGGTGAGCAGCGGGACTCCAGAGCCCGGGTGGTTTGCGCACGCGTACTGCCGACGAACCCGACCACTCATTCGCGCTGGCCAGTCTTAACACCCTCGGTATATAAGGTGATATAGACAATTGTTTAAGGTAATTTAATACGTGAATTGTATAGCAATGTACAAGAAGTAAGGTATAGGAAGAATTGCAAGGTATACTTGCCTGTACCTTTCTTCGAGTAATTTACGTATAGCTGTTATAACCGTTTCATTTATCTAGGCATCTGCATCACACTCTTGGTATAGAAAGTGATGTAGAGAATTCTATTGAGTAATTAAGAACATGGATTGTAAAGTAATTCGCAATAATGTATAAGGTATTAGGATATATGAATCTGATGTTCCTAGTTCATTAATATATGATTCAGTTTTAATTCTTTCGGTATATATAAGATGATATATTTCTGTAATAATCACTGTTGGCTGTATACACAGTATACTAATTATATCAGTTTGCATTATTAAAAATACGCATAAAGTAGATAAAATACAGGTAAGTACTGCATTGCCCATTTAAGTATATTCATGAACATAATCATCGGTATAAAAGACGTAAGGAACCACACAAGATGCTTAAATGTTTTTGTCGTAACGGTTTCAATATAAAATGATGAAAACAAGAAATATAAGCTGGCCACTGATATATCCAGCACATAACAAACAATCAATGGAATTATTAGTATCCAGAATATGCAGTACTGTAACTGTAGAGTTATCAATTATATATGAAAATATAACGTAAATAACATTTAGCAGCCATTTCGTTAAATATTAAAAAACACAGCATTCATTCTACTCTTGGTAGGAAGCGCCAGACAACTGCATACATGATTATATACTTTTTTATTTATATCATTTTATAAATGATTGCTTACATATAATTAATAGTCATAATTATTACACGAGTAAAGTGTTTGTCAATATCCATTAAATGTCAGGTTGAAAATAAATAATGAAGCATTAGATCAGGGGTTCTTAACCTACTGATGATTTAAGACCCACGTGGATTGCCAAGTACGTTCCCATGCGTTCATACTTGACTGTCATTTTATTCATTCATTTTAGAAATATTAGTTGATTCAGTTTGTTTCGTTTATGAAAGCCAGGGGTTGACTTGAGTCTGGATTTGAGATGTGGAATATAAGTTATTTAGTAGTCTGATCTACCTACCTATAAAATAATACATTACATCAATATCCAGAGATCGAGTTCCATACCCGCTACTGGATATCCTCGCAGTGTATCAACCCGTCTATGTGAGCAATGGATAGTCCCCTCCCTTTACAAGTTGACCACTCAGCGTCGCCAGTGCTTTGAATCTTTTATCCGAAACACATACCACGGTATGAATAGAGGAAAAGGGTTTCGGATATGAGTCGAACCTGGCAGCTCCCACATTAGCAACGCTGGGTGGTGAATTTAGAAGTGGGGGAGGGGGAAAGGCTGTACAGTCACGATCCAAACTGTTGTCGAATATTGTATGTTTCGAATTCTGTCTCGAACAGGCAGCTAAAGTGACCCTCGTTGTCTAGGATAAGATTTTTTCGAAGATTTATTTAAGACACGACTGTGGTTTTTGAGTGTAAAATTACTCATATAAGCAATGATAAATAAATACGTAAAGATTTTCGTGTCAGGTGTTTCTTGTAAAATTTTAAAGTGGCATCATATGCACATAAATAACTTGATAAACTGATTGAGAGATGTATGTGCGTGGGTGTGTGGGGGGTGCACGCATGCTAAACGACGTGAATAAACTAAATGAGATCAATCATGAAGAAAACACTCAAAAATAAGCGTTCCCATTACACTGCACACACACAAAAAAAATATAAGAATGGACTAACAAATATCGCAAAAATGTTAAACCGAGAACATTATCAATTTTTAACACGAGCTGATAAACTTTCTTTGCTTACGGAAGGAGGTGTTAAATTATTCTCCGACCAGAATTATTGCCGGGGAAGCATTTACTGAAACCATTTCCCATTACGTAATTCTCCTCTCTCTGCGTTATTTCCCTTTCTCTCGATTACTCTCTCTCACTCTTTGTCTTTTAACGTCTCTCCTTGGCTTCCTCTTACCCGTTTTTCCGTTGCTTACTCTCTCATTACATCAGTGTTTATATATCTCTCGCTTACACTCTCTCACCTTTTGTTTATTTTTCTCCCTCGCTTACACTCTCTCACTTTCTGTTTGTTTGTGTTTCTCTCTCGCTTATTCTCTTCCCGTTGTCGTTTTTCCCTCGCTTACTCTCTCGCCATTTATATACGTCTCCCTTGTTTAAACTCTCACTCTCTGTCTGCTTAGGTCTCTCCTACGCTTACTCTGTCTTTTTACATCTCTCTAACACTTACTCTCTCTCACCCTCTTTTGTTTACGTCTCTCCCACGCTTACTTTCTCTGTCTGCGTTTTTTCCTCTCTCGTTCTCTATCACCGTCACTTTGTCTGCATTTCTCCCTCATCCTCTGTCTGCTTACGTCTCTCTCTCTTCATCTATCTACCTATAGTTAGATAGATAGATATAGATTTGTCTTTCTTCTCTCTGCATCTGTATCTCTCTATCTATCTCTCTATCTCTCTCTCTCTCCCTCTCTCTCCCACCCTCTCTCTCTCTCTCTCTCTCTCTCTCTCTCTCTCTCTATATATATATATATATATATATATATATATATATATATATATACATGCATGTGTGTGTTTACAATATATATTTTTAATATATATACTCACATACATGTGTGTGCGTGTGTGTGTGTGTGTGTGTGTGTGTGTGTGTGTGTGTGTGTGTGTGTGTGTGTGTGTGTGTGTGTGTGTGTGTGTGTGTGTGTCTGTGTGTCACACATACACGTTATGGAATTCATATAACCTTAAATCTCCTTTTTGTTCTAAAACACGAACATAAAAGACAATGATTTCCTAACATACGCCAAAGAAAGTGACATACGTAACTTCCTTACTCGCTTGATTCATGGCTGTTATCTCTAATGTTATAAAGTTGTTTACTAACATCCGAAAGGTTTCGAGAAGAAAACGTTTTTTTTTTTTCTCCCTTTCCGAGGCGTAAATCTGTCAACAAGAGCTGAGTGATATATTTTGTAGAATATAATCCAGTTAGTGTCCATGGAGATTCGATTTTTATATTTTCTTCCGAATTGTTATTGTTACGATCATAAAGTAAAGTAGTTACCTTTTTTTGTCTTTTTTATTGTATGTCCAAAAAACTTTGTAAATGGATAATACAATTTATAGTATGAAATCTAATTAATGAATACGGACACTCAATCTGTTTATATTTTTATCAATTAGTTCATCTATTTCTTTATTTATTCATTTATTTACTCTTAGGTTATTATATTTATATATGAGACAAGCCCGGTTACCATTACATTGTTGCAACGTTTTTCCAAGAACGAAATTAAGACCATAACTTTGGTGGCTTTACAACATGGCCGCGTAACCTCTACTTCAGTCTGTCGAACTCTGTTTTAGGGTGCTGACCGCCGTTCAATTAGTGGTCTTATAGGGTTAGTATGTAGCTTGACCCAATGTCCTTTGGTACAGATGTATCTTATCTGTAACCTCCGAGACTAAACTTTGATTAACTTTGTCAATTATACTAGATACTTGCTATTCCGTCGCTATGAAATATTTGCTTATAATTTCCTTTCCTTCCGAAGTATTGCGTTCCGTCAGCTGATCTATGTTTAACCACACATATGTCTCTCGGTAAAAGCAGTATGTTTGTCAAGTAAGTAATAAGAATCTGATCATCTGGGGAATTTCCTTGAATCACTACAGACACGGTGTCGGGGAATTGCCATGAATAGGCCTACATATCATTGCAACATCCCAAGATCTTAGTGTTGAAATATTATCGTAGTCGAATACAAAAGAGGCCTGAAGGACTTCGTTTATATAGGGAATTCTATTTTCTTTTTCTTTTAGTTGCAACTGCGTAGAATTATACGTTACACGGTAAATTTTAAGGAGATACTTCATTGAATTTCTAAATGGTTAGGACGTTCAGATAGTAATTTTATTAACAGATCGTGCTTGTAAGTATCCTGTT